CACACTAACAGCACCTTTCAAGGCAGGTGAAATTGCTGACATAGAAAATGTACAGAGAACCTTCATGGGGCATGCATAACGGAGATAAAACACCTCAATTACTGGGAGTGCTTGAAGTTCCTGAACCTGTACTCCCTGAAATGCAGGCAGGAGAGATACATGATTATATACACCTGGAAAATCCTAGAGGGACTAGTACCGAACTTGCACACGAAAATCACTCGCTACGAAAGCAAAAGACTCGGCAGACAATGCAACATCCCCCCAATGAAAAGCAGGGGTGTCACTAGCATGTTAAGAGACAACACAATAAGTGTCAGGGGCCCAAGACTGTTCAACTGCCTCCCAGCATACATAAGGGGAATTACCAATAGACCCCTGGCTGTCTTCAAGCAGGCACTGGATAAGCACCTTAAGTCAGTACCTGACCAGCCGAGCTGTGGTTCGTACGTTGGATTGCATGCAGCCAGCAGCTTGGTTGATCAGGCTCTGATCCACCAGGAGGCCTGGTCACAGACCGGGCCGCGGGGGTGTTGACCCCCGGAACTCTCTCCAGGTAAACTCCAGTCCAATGTGGTCTATTAAGGAGATATTAGTCTCAGTGATTCTTGTAGGTTTAGATATTGTTGGTAGCAACAGGCAGTTGCTTATAGTGTTCGTGAATTCAGTTACTTCTGGGTCCAGGTTGTGTAGTAAGTTTATGTTGAAATCTCCTGTTAGTAGCAGGTGGTCTTTATTCATGTGTGCATCAGTAATCATGTTTCCTAGTTTTTCACTAAAGTGGTAAACATTTGACTGTGGTACTCTGTAGATGTTTATAACTGTGAGGGGTTTTTGCAGGTCTTTTAATTTAAATTTGGCTATGATATTATTCACCATGTTCATCCCTCATGCAAGATTTTTTGATACATTTGAGTTGATTTGAGTAGTATATAGCTGTTCCTCCCCCTTGCTGGTCTGTTCTACAGTTGTGTATGGCCATGTAACCAGGAATGGCATAGACATCTGTAATATCAGGCTTAAGCCAGGTTTCTGTGAGCGTGATGACTGATATATTGGAATGAAGGGAACTGAGTAATGCTGTGAGGTCATCATAATGTTTGCTCAAGGATCTGACATTGCAGTTAAAGATGGTTATAAGATAAGATAAGATAAGATTTCGTTTGGATTTTTAACCCCGGAGGGTTAGCCACCCAGGATAACCCAAGAAAGTCAGTGCGTCATCGAGGACTGTCTAACTTATTTCCATTGGGGTCCTTAATCTTGTCCCCCAGGAAGTGACCCACGCCAGTCGACTAACACCCAGGTACCTATTTGCTGCTAGGTGAACAGGATAATAGGTGTAAGGAAACGTGTCGAAATGTTTCCACCCGCCGGGAATCGAACTCGGGCCCTCCGTGTGTGAAGCGGGAGCTTTAGCCACCAGGCTCTGAGTAATGTCTTTGCTTGGTCTGCTGTATAGTAATTACAGGTGCTGTTTGATTCGTGTAAATCATTAAGTAAAAAGTTTACATCAGGATCTATGCCTGTAGTCATAAGAATGAGAATGTCTCTACAAACTAGATTTTCTGAGTAAAATATTATAAGATTTATAGTGAATCTACAACTAGACTTAGGAATAAGACTATGTAAATATTCTAAAACTTATAAAAATATAAAAGAACTAGGGATTATCATAGAAGAGATAATTCAATTATACTTAGCATCTAAATAGCACCTTAATTATTTTAACAAATGTGAGTGTGTGAACTACGGTAGATATTTACAGCTAAAATAAAGGAGCTAGTGAATATAATAATAAAAGAATGAAATTAAAAAACAGTAGCACCTGAGATAGCCAAAAGCACCTGGAGTATTTTAACAAATGTGACTATATGGACAAGAGGGAAAAATATTATAACACCTGAAAGTAGCCCCTTAACTGTTATTAAAACTAGGAGTATAGCAATTACTGAATAAAACACTACAAGGTGTTGGAATATAGCGAACTATGTCAGGAGAAATACATAAAGGGACTAAATTAAGTATTGATAAACAACCTTTAAAGGATAGATAGTCACTATGATATAAAATTAATCTGAGCAAGATTTGTCTTATAGCATAAAAATTGAGCAATTAATATCACAAAAAGAAATATTATTTGAAACAGTTCATACTAGCTAGTAAAAGATGGTACAAGGAATTGAACAAAAGTGTAGTAGGAACATACACTAGTTTGACATTTGTATTTTGGGAGTAAAGGGAAAATTTGGTAAGATAATAGGAGAATTATAACAGTGCTTTAAGTGGGAATAATTGGTAATACAGATATTATTAAAGAGTAAGTATCTTATTAACAAATAATAAATTGTGAATGGGAAATCTGGGAAGATAACACAAATTGAGTCACACAAGAAACTGTGTGGGACACATGGGATAGTGAGGAAGTAAATACTATCCGGGAGGTGATAGTGATATTCTCACCATTTACCCAATACCTCCAGCTCCCCATCTACTAACTTCCCTACTCTGTCTTAAACTGACAAATCCATTCGTTCCCTAGGCTTTCTAACTTGTTTATCTCACTCCAAAATTTTTTCTTATTTTCATCAAAATTTCTTGACAGTGCCTCTCCCACTCTATCATCTGCTCTCCATTTGCACTTTCTCACCACTCTCTTCATATTTCTTGTACTCTCCATATACTCTGCTCTTCTTGCAACACTTCTGCTTTGTAAAAACCTCTCATAAGCAACCTTTTTCTCTTTTATCACACCCTTTGCTTCATCATTCCACCAATCATTCCTCTTTCCTCCTGCCCCCACCCTCCTACAGCCACAAACTTCTGCCTCACATTCTAATACTGCACTTTTAAAACTATTCCAACCCTCTTCAACCCACCCACTACTCATACAAGCACTAGCCCACCTTTCTGCCAATAGCTGCTTATATCTCACCCTAACTTCCTCCTCCCTTAGTTTATGCACTTTCACCTCTCTCTTACTTGTTGTTGCCATTTTCCTCTTTTCCCATCTACCTCTTACTCTAACTGTAGCTACAACTAAATAATGATCCGATATATCAGTTGCTCCTCTATAAATATGTACATCCAGAAGCCTACCCATCAACCTTTTATCTACCAATACATAATCTAACAAACTTTCATTATGTGCTGTATCATACCTTGTATACTTTTCATCTTTATTTTTTCATAAAATATGTATTACTTATTACCAAACCTCTTTCTACATATAGCTCAATTAAAGACTCCCCATTTTCATTTATCCCTGGCACCCCAAATTTACCTACTACTCTCTCCACAACATTTTTACCCACTTTAGCACTGAAATCCCCAACCACAAGTACTCTCACACTTGGTTCAAAACTCCCCATGCACTCACTCAACATTTCCCAAAATCTCTCTCTTTCTGTCTCCTCTACACTTCTCTCTTCTCCAGGTGCATAAATGCTTACTATAACCCACTTTTCACATCCAACCCTGATTTTACTCCACATAATCCTTGAATTTATACATTTAGATTCCCTCTTTTCCAGCCTTAACTTATCCTTCAACATTATTGCTACTCCTTCTTTAGCTCTAACTCTATTTGAAACCCTTGACCTAATCCCATTTATTTCTCCTCACTGAAACTCGCCCACCCCCTTCAGCTCTGTTTCACTTAAAGCCATTTATTAAAACATAAATATGTACCAAGCACTCCAACACTATATCCCCCCCTGCTTTTAACATTTCTGTCATGATCCCATCAGTTCCTGCTGCTTTACCTCCTTTCATTCTATGTAATGCCTCATGCACCTCCCCCACACTCACATCCTGCTCTTCTTCACTCCTAAAAGATGGTATACCTCCCTGACCAGTGCAAGAAATTACCGCCTCCCATTCATCATTGACATTTAACAGTTCCTCAAAATATTCCCACCATCTACCCAATACAGCTCCCCATCTACTAACTCCCATACTCTGTTTTTACTGACAAATCCATTCGTTCCCTAGGCTTTCTTAACTTGTTTATCTCACTCCAAAGGTGCTGTTGTTTTAAAGAAAAAATTAAGAAAATTCATGAGATCAACAAATCTCATAAGAAAATGTAAACATAACATCAAATATGGTTAGGAAAACTTAAAATAATGTAGATGTCCTATCCATTCATTTAAAAATTATTAGGATTTTTGTAAGCTACATCAGCATCCTTTAAGATGATAAAGTAAATGCTTAAACTGCTTCAACCAATCACAAAAGTTCAAGAAATGTCAAAGTACTTTGTCCAAAGTGGCATATTACCAGTCATTCTGGAAAATTACCCTGACTTTACCTATTGTAAATAACTCCTAAATAACTCACAACTGCACATAACTATATTACACTGTAATGCTTGTGATTGTATTTGTGAACTTAATAAATTTTGTAAATAGCTCATCCCCACTGTAATTTGCTTAGCAAATACAAATGTTGGGGTCCACTCTCTGAATCTATTACGTGCCTCCACAATCTTTTGACTAGTGCATCAAAAATTATCAAATTAACCCATGAAAGAACTGATCTTTACCCAGATTTAATGTGCCACTAACAAATATTCTTGCTACATTTCAACATTAATTATATAAATAAAACAGACATTAAACAGCAATCTTAACTTTGTAATGTAGTACAATATTTAAATTCATTATACTGTATTCTCTGCTGTCATGATTCACTTAAATTCTTTTTTCTAAATGACTTATGTATAAACTAGTCTGATTTCAGGGTAAAAATTATTACTTTCTCCCAAATACCCACATAACACCTTACTAATGCTTTAATTAAATTTTTTTAACATGCCGGCCATCTCCCACCGAGGCAGGGTGACCCAAAAAAAGAAACACTTTCACCATCATTCACACAATCACGTGCAGACATGACAGTTCAAATGTCACTCCAAACAGCAGATATCCCAAACTCTGCTTTTTATTAATTTGTGGATATAAATCACCCTCAAATCACTATTTAATGCCCTGACTTACAGAGACGATCAGGCTTGATGGATGTGAGTATCCTAAACACGTAATCAGTGGCTTCTTCTTCATCGTTGTCTGAGCCCCCATGATGCTGCCTGTTGGCTAGTGCCCGGGCTTTTCTCCTCAGCTTGGGAAAAACTTTACCTATAAAGACAATACAGATTGATAAAGACTTACCTTGCACTGTGAAAATACAAATTAGGATACTGTATTCCTTAACCTGTAATAATTTACATTCCATCAATACTTTTTCTTATTTGAGTATTAAATTTTGCATTACAAATGTTTAAAATACTGCTCATACATACCTTTGCCTCGTTGGGACCAGAGTGGAGGGTCAAGGTGGCCATGTGGAAGAAGACCATTTTCAAGGCAGGAGAGGAAGGCAAGAAGGTGACCACCACGAGGAAAATGGATAGGTGGATACTGAGTTCCATCCTGCCCAACCAGAACAATAGTTCCACCAGAGTCACCTAAAATCCATATGAAGTTATGCCATAATGAAAGGCAACTAACTGGCTAAGTGAGATTCAAAATATTAAGTAACTATTCAAAGATTATTCATTAATGACCAGATTAATGTCATTTGTTAGTTTCTCTTTCTATCCCAGCTTCAATGCTCTATGATTTATCCAGCCAACATAAGTTTACTATGTAAAAAACTGAGTATACTGGGTCAAGTGTATGGATGAATAATTACTGAAAGTTAGGGGTGAGATAGATAGTAGGATTGCAAAAGAACAAGGAGAATTAGGGAAGTGTAGAGGATGTGTAGACCAAATGTTTACAGTGAAGCAAATAAATAAACAGTACATTGGACCCCTGAGTTTCGGCAGCCTCGACTTTCGTGAAATTCGACATTCGGTGAGTTTTTTTGGAAAAATTTGGCCTCGAGTTTCGTGAAAAAACTTGTGTTTCGGCAACCGTCCGGTACCCGTCCGCCCGTCACCGCACACACCAAGCCAGTCTCCCACGCCATTCACATTCAGTGTGCCATTGTTTACCAACACGTCACCATCATCCCGCAGGTTCATACAATACATTTCATAACAATCCATTGTTTTTTGTGCTTGGAAGTGCTAAATAAGTCATCATGGACCCAAGGAAAGCTAGTGCAAGCCCTTTGGTAAATAAAGTGAGGAACACGATCCAGAGGGATTTTGACGGGGATGTGGAAGAGTTGGTGGAGGACCACAGGGAAGAGCTAACCACTGACGAACTGTAAGAGCTTCAACTGGAACAGCATCACACCACAGCCGAGGAACTTGCTTCAGAGGAGGAGGAAGAGGGAGTGGATGAGGTGCCTTCTTCAAAGATTAAGAAGATTTGTGCAATGTGGAATGAGTTGCAAAGTTTTGTTGAAAAGTATCACCCTGACCAAGCTGAAACAAGCCATATCTGCAACATGTACAATGACAGTGTTGTGTCCCACTTCCGGGAAATCTTAAAGAAACGCCAGAAAAAGACCTCTCTGGACAGATATTTTGTGCGACAGGGGTCCAGTGACTCTCAAGTTGTTCCCAGTTGCATTAAAAGAAGAAGGGAAGTAACCCCAGATAAGGACTTGCTACCTAAAGTCCTAATGGAAGGAGATTCTCCTTCCAAACAATAGTGTACACCTTCCTCCTATCCCCTCCTCCCATTTTCCATCCACCCAGAAGTCTTCAGTAAAGGTAAGTGTTATGTTATTATTATTTTTTCAAATGCATGTACTTGATTTCTGATTATTTTCATTATGTATATCTTTATTTAATTTGAAAAAAATATTTTATTTTAATATTTTTGAGTGTCAGGAACGGATTAATTTTATTTCCATTATTTCTTATGGGGAAAATGGTTTCGAGTTTCGTGAATTTCGACCTTTGGCAGGCTCTCTGGAACGGATTAATCACGAAACCCGGGGGTCCACTGTACATAAGAACATAAGAAAGAAGGAACACTGCAACAGGCCTACTGACCCATGTGGAGCAGGTCCATGTCCCCCCCCTTAGGAAAGGCAGATGATAAGGGAGATACAATATAGCAGATGTTTAAAACATTTGGAGTAGGCAGTAGGTTAATAAAGGTAGAAAAACATTTTCATGCAGATAGTGAGGCTCTGCTTAGGGTGCATAGAAGAGAAGGGTACTATTTTTCTGTAAAAGTAGGTCTTAGACAAGAATATGTAATGTCAACATGGTTGTTTAACACAGAGATGTAAAAGAAGTGAATGTTAGGGTGTTTTGGAGAGGTGTAGGATTAACAGAAAATGAATCTGATACAAAGTGGGAATTGTCATAGTTGCTGTTTACCTATGATATAGAACTTTTAAGGGATTTTGAAGGGGAGTTGTAAAGGCTGCTGAATGTAGTCAGGAGGGTATCAAATCAAAATCAAAATGTTTATTTCTTTGCAAAGCTTACAATGTATGGCTTACATGTTCTTTTTTTTTTTTTTTTTTAAACAAGTCGGCCGTCTCCCACCGAGGCTTGCATGTTATAAAATATTAATCACCACAAAGAAGGCCACTAGCATGCCTAGCCATTTCAGACAGATTAATCCTAATTCTTACTCTATATTGACATAAGTTATAGAGCAGTACATTTTAACATACATTATTGCACAATGTGAAAGGTAGGTAACTGAAGTGATTAATTAGATTTATAATAGCGAGGTAGTACAAAACATATAACAATATTATATATAATTAGTAAATTTAGGAATGGGTAGTACAAAACATATAACAATACTACAATTAGTAAATTTAGTAATGGGAATGGTTTTGTCTTGCCATGATGCACTGTTTCTATTAAAGCTCCTATATTGGGAGAGTATCTTAGACAAACTTAGGACTAACTTAAGATTTAATAGGCAACAGCTATATTAGGAATTTTATGTTTACAGTGATTTGGGCGAGTGTAAGTGTCAAGTGTATGTCAAAAAAGGAAATCAAAAGTGAACACAGAAAAGAGCAAGGTGATGAGAGTGACAAAATAATTTTTTTTTTTTAACAAGTCAGCCGTCTCCCACTGAGGCAGGGTGACCCCAAAAAAAAGAAAATTCCCAAAAAAGAAAATACTTTCATCATTTAACACTTTCACCTCACTCACACAAAATCACTGTTTTTGCAGAGGTGCTCAGAACACAACAGTTTAGAAGCATATACATATAAAGATACATGCTGTACACTTTCGTACAGCATAATGATGTAACGCGATAAAGTTAGTTGATCAAATGAAAATGCTGGCTCACAGATGGCTCCAACTTCATCCTGTTTCCTACTTGTATGTCTCATAACAATAAAAATGCTTTCAAATGAGCTGATGTAGGTAACAGTTCTTAGCTTGCCAATAAAGTTAGGAATCCTTAACCTGTAAATAGCTTGTCAATAAAGCTAGCGATCCCTAACCTAACCTTGTCAAACCCTGTGTAAAAAAAAAAAAAAAAAAAAAAAAAATCTCTCCAAACTGCCAATATCCCAAACCCCTCCTTTAAAGCGCAGGCACTGTACTTCCCATTTCCAGGACTCAAGTTCAGGTATATAAAAATAACTGGTTTCCCTGAATCCCTTCACTAAATACCCTGCTCACACTCCAACAGCTCATCAGGTCTCAAATACCATTCGTCTCCATTCACTCCTATCTAACACGCTCATGCACACTTGCTGGAAGTCCAAGCCCCTTGCCCACAAAACCTCCTTTACCCCCTCCCTCCAACCTTTCTGAGGACGACCCCTACCCCGCCTTCCTTCCCCTACAGACTTATACTCTCTCCACATCATTCTACTTTGATCCATTCTCTCTAAATGACCAAACTACCTCAACAATCCCTCTTCAGCCCTCTGACTAATACTTTTACTAACTCCACATCTTCTCCTAATTTTCACACTCCAAATTTTCTGCATAATATTTACACAACACACTGCCCTTAGACAGGACATCTCCCCTGCCTCCAACTGCCTCCTCACTGCAGTATTTACAACCCAAGCTTCACACCCATATAAGAGTGTTGGCACTACTATACTTTCATACATTCCCTTCTTTGCCTCCATAGATAACGTTTTTTGTCTCCACATATACCTCAATGCACCACTCGCCTTTTTTCCTTCATCAGTTATACGATTAACCTCATCCTTCATAAATCCATCCGCTGACACGTCAACTCCCAAATATCTGAAAACATTCACTTCTTCCATACTCCTCCTCCCTAATTTGATATTCAATTTTTCTTTATCTAAATCATTTGATACCCTCATCACCTTACTCTTTTCTATGTTCACTTTCAACTTTCTACCTTTACACACACTCCCAAACTCCTCCACTAACCTTTGCAATTTTTCTTTAGAATCTCCCATAAGCACAGTATCATCAGCAAAAAGTAACTGTGTCAATTCCCATTTTGTATTTGATTCCCCATAATTTAATCCCATCTTAAAAAAAAAATCAAATCCATCCCTCTCCCGAACACCCTAGCATTTACTTCTTTTACAACCCCATATATAAATATATTAAACAACCATGATGACATTATATCAAAATCTGGGCAATTACAAGTTCACTATCAGACTGGAGAGAACATGGAGGAAGAGAATTATCCAGATATTTGGGAATGGACATGAAAGCAGATGGGTCTAAGAAATATGAGGTGAACCACAGGGGAAAAAGTCAGCTAGTGTTGTACTGAGGCATATGTAGAAAGAAGTAAGGTTATCTATGCAGGCAAACAAGGTATGTACTAGAGTATAGAGGCATCATATTTATATGGGAGTGAGCCATGGGGTTCAACTTTCCCATTAATATTTAAGATAGCAAGGGTTACCCTGATCCTCAACGAGGCAATCCAAATGAAGTGAATAACTACAGGCCTATATAAAACTTGCCCTTACTATCTAAAATTTTCAAAAAAATGATACATAAGCGAGCTTACTTCTACCTAATATCTCGCAACATACTTAACCCTTGCCAGTTTGGGTTCAAGCAGAAAAAAGTAAGAAAGACGCAATTATACAAATGCTTGAACTGCTATATGCAGCACTTGAAAAAATGAATACAGGTCTTCCTCCACATTCGCGAGTTCCACTTTCATGGGCTTCGAACATTCACGATTGCCAAGCCGCCAAATCATATTTAAAATACGTCATTATGTATGTTAAGAATTGTGGCGGTGGCAGAGTTTGTTTGGAGGCAGGACAGATAGTCCTTCAATATGACACTAATATCAACTCTACTGCTTATTTATCACAATTGATCTAATATGACATAATCAACAACATTAATAACAGTCTAGGTAGTAGGTTGGTAGACAGCAACCGCCCAGGGAGGTACTACCATCCTGCCAAGTGAGTGTAAAATGAAAGCCTGTAATTGTTTTACATGATGGTAGGATTGCTGGTGTCTTTTCTGTCTCATAAACATGCAAGATTTCAGGTACGTCTTGCTACTTCTACTTACACTTAGGTCACACTACACATACATGTACAAACATATATATACAC